ATCCAGATGTCATGTGGTTATCTGATGCACTCTTTACAAATGCCCCATGCAGCAAACCTGTGGACTTGTAAAGTTTTGATTATGGCCCGCACTGGACTGGATCTGATTTGTAAAGGCAAGTGAAATTTTGAGTTATTAGGCATCAGTATTTGTATATTCACAAAAAATGCAAAACCTATCATGTTTTATATAATGTCAAGCTCAGACAGCAAGCCCTCCTGGTCATCTCGCTGACTTTCGTCCTAATTCATTCTCTGGTTTTGGGAAATAAGCAGTTGTTTGAACTGCAGAGGAAATCCCTGTGGGTGACCCTGCAGCCACAGCTAAATCTGGGAATTCTGCAGAGCCAGCTTGTCCATTCCCAATCCGGGAGCCTCTCGTAGCTCCCGCTTGGAAAGCACACGGAAAGTTGGAGAAAATGGAGCCACAACACTTTTTTTCCCCAAGAACCCGTACCGCCATCGGCATGGCGGTGATCAGTGAGACCAGCAGAATTTCAGGCCTCTGGTGATCACAAATTAGTTGTTTTGAAAGCAGTCGCAAGAAAGACTAATGATATAGAACTTGGCATTTGCTGACTGTTCCTGGCAAGTTGGGGGAAAAAATGGGCTGGGAATGGGATTAATGAAATATTCTGTTTATCTGATTGCATCAGTGAAGGTTTGAGATAATAAGTGTAAATCATCTACGCAATTTTAGATCAATGGAAAGTTTTACTACCTTTCTGGGTTGCATCTCTTGAAGAACTTGGAGGCTGTGTACATCCCATTTATGAATAAGGTGCAAATACTAAGGAGGGGAAAAACACTAAGGAAGGGGAAAGTCTGGGTATTTTTTGTGTTAGATTTCCACCATCCAGGCTGAAGGGACTATTGAAAAACACTCCAGGTTTTAAGTGGAGCAGATAGTGCAGTTTCTTACTGTGGAGTCCAAGTGCAAATGTAAAATGTATTTTTGCTAGGATAACTGGTGTTTGTGGTGATGGTTGTTGTCTGTGTGTGTATGTGATCCAAATACCTTGTTATGGCTGTTGGTTCTCTTGTACAGTAGTCAAATTTAATCCTGGGATTAAATTTGACAGGTGGAGCAAACTATTCGCCTATAGATTTCCAGCAAGAAATACATTATGTACAGACCATTTTATATGAAGAGCTACATGTAAATGAGTTTAAACTCAAAAACTGTATAAGGAACTTTGTTGGCAGCCCAAATAATAATGTCTTGGACTTGGGAGCACAATGTAATCTCTTATATGCGCTTATTGGAAATAGAAAATTTTATTAAGAAGTAAATCTGACTGAGCTGCATAGTAACAGATACGAAGACATGAGCAATAAGGACATGAACCATGTGGATGTCATGGTGTCTCTCTTAAATGGTTATTTTGGTGGGAAGTCGTCGTGGTTACCCACAGTCAGCTAACTAGTTACTTCTAATGTGTAAATTTCTAAAAGGTTTCTAAAAGGAGCAATTGCACCATAATTGACCGTATTTTTGGAGGCACGATTTGCTACATATCTGCAAGTATCAACATACTCAACTTGTCAAAAAACACCTTTTTTTTCAGTGTAGAACTGGAAAACTGAGCACAGTATTGCACGTGTCATGACTATATTTTGGGTTTGAACTTTCTGTTTCTCTTGGTGCTTCTGAGACTACCTGGTCAGTACCACATTGTGTTTTTCCAAAGAAGAAGTGAGACTGGTAGGAGGTTTAGGAAACATGGCTGGTGAGCAAAATTGTAGGAACTGGTTTCATCATTTAAAACAAACAAACAAAAAAAAAATCCCCAGTCTTTCAATGTAAAAGGCTTCTGTCTTAAAAATATGACAGTCGGTTTTTTTCCCATGTTCTCAGGGGAAAAGACAAGAAGGAATTGGTTTAATCTGGCTTTTCCTTGAATGTCAGAAAACCTTTTCTAATTCATAGGGTTAAAGTTGGTTTTCTTGCTGTCTCCCATATAGAGGAAGAATCGATATATATTCATCTATCTAAACCAGTCTTTTAAATATGCAGATGTGCTTCCAGGGAAAGCTTGGGACTGTATAATCTCTTCTACGACCATACCTCTCTAATACTCTGGTGATATTTATTTTTCTACTTTGACAAGGAGAAGTACTTGAATTGTTCGTGGGTAGTGATTTCATGTGGTTGGTTCACAAGAAAATGCCCTGAAATTCATTTTTAAGCTGCAGGTAGTAGACAACGCAAACTGCAATTTTGGTAATTTCTGCCGTATTCTGTTCAACAGACTATGTAAAAAGACAAATTTACAGTGAAAGAAACCAATCTTCCTGCAACAAATTTACTCCTGAACTCACTTTTTCCTCCTCTCATTGGCTGAGATTATATGAGTTGTTAAGAAAACTTTAAAAGTAGCTTTTAGGAATGGAAATCCTGGCAGTATCTTGGCTGGCAGCATCTTTTGGTTAGTTAAAGAAAGAGCTTGGGTTAAGTTCGAGATGTATAAAATGGATTCAGGGAAGTTACAAAAGTTAAGTGAGGTTGGTCCTCACTTCTTCAACTTGAAAATAAAAATTATTTTCTGAGCAACAGGCTACTAGTTTTCTTGCACAAATACCTGCCTTTGCAAATATCTGACAACTTTGATTACTGGAAAGGTATTTTCTGGATTTAGTGTTGTGGCTCAGTTAAAGACAATCTGGAAAAAAAAAGACATTTGCATAAGCCCTAAGTATTTGCTTCTGTGCTTGGATATCCTCTGTGTACCATATCATTTATAGAGACAATTAGTTCATGGCGTGTCATTTTAGGAAGGCTTATGTTGAATGTTAAGAAAATAGTTTAGAAAATTTCATTTTGCCTAAAATATTTAATCAGTCATATCTTATATAGCCCATTCGTGATACTCATTTTCTTTCCTGATAAAAGCTTTTTCCTCCCCCCACTCCTCATCTGCATTTCTGAAGCTTTTCTTGAAGTGTGTTTGCTTTTAAACCACACTTTTCAGAGTCCAAAGAAAGACAATGAACTAACTAGTTTTCTGGAAATTTTGCATTGATTTTAATTTAGCAACATGCCTAAATTGGGTAAATTTCTTCAAGGGGTTTATCGTGTTATTCAGTAAAATAACAATAAAAATGTTATTGGATCTCAGTGTGCATTTCTAAATCCAGTAATAAAATAAGTAATATGGCTGAAGAATGCACATTTAAATTAGCTTTGACACTCTATTTGCTTTATGTCTAACCTCATCTTAGGATGCATTATTCACTGGCAATATATAGACTATTAAGTCTTAATCAAATGCATTTTATCATAAGTGTCAATTCAATATTTTGCTATTGTATTTCTGTTTTAAAATACTAAGCTTTTTGTAGGGGAATGATGAACGTCTGTTTTAAAATAGGCTTTTTGTAGGGGAATGATGAATGTACCGTAGTGCTGCCAGGAAGAGACAGTTTCATACCGCTTGTTTGTGAAATTATCTTTAAACTCTAGTTTTACATTGTGTCCTAAAACACCTATGGAAGGAGTCTACTTTGCTTGCTTAGATGCAATTGCCAAACTGGGGAAACAAAACAGTTGGTAAGTGTTTATCACACCTAAACGTGTTAGAAAATGTGCCTGGAAGTACATCTCAATGCTTTTATTTTGAATGAAGCTTTTATTTTTATCACTATGGTTTGTTTGCACTAGAAATAATAGAAACTGCATGTAGGTGACATACAGTGTATATGTGCAATGAATTATATAGTATAATATTTTAGATATAAAAATTGAGACAGATAATTGATTATGTTATGTATGTAAAAAAACTAAAGATATTCATGCTTGCATATGAGGCTTTTTTCACACGAGATATTTGTGTTTGCATATACTAAACTCAAAGAGACTGTTTCGTATGACTTGAAATTACTAACTAATGAAAAGCAACAGTTAATCAATGTCTTGAACTAAAATCTTGGTATTTGCTCCTGCTTTATTAGCTTCCTCTGAAGATATTGTAGGAATGTATCGAGTTGAATGGTTAGCCCCATGCAGAGGTACCTGGAGACTGCAGTTTTGCAGAGAGGTTAAAATAAAAGAAAAAGGTAATGTCTTTTCAGCTTCTCAGCTGAAATATTGCACTATTTTCCATGTAAAATACAAACATCAGAACACTTTAAAGAGGCTCAACCCTCTACCTTACAGGAAATAAGAATTAAAGTGGCTTCCATGTCATTAATGAGTTTCAGTTTTCCTTTTCCCATAAATTTATATATTTTTTGCAATAAAAGACTTATCCAACCAGAAAGCAACTGCTAGTTTTCATCAAGAGGTACCAAAAGATAAAACAACCCATTTACTTGCACTAATACAACCCCTTTTTTTTTTCTTCATAAAGTCTATGTTAAGCTTTACTAATACTAATCGGGATTAAGTACCTGAATGGTAAAGAACAGACCTCTGAGGCTGTAGCAGGTTCTTTATAAACAGAAGATGCTGAGATGTTCTTTGATGAAACTTCATTTTTTATTTATTTATTTTTGTAAAAAGCCGCATCCTGACACACAGAGCATTTATCTGTAGTAGCTTTTGGAGGTTTATAAGCTCAGAATCAGTCCAGTAGCTGAATTGTTACACGTTCTGGCTCTTTCTTCTCCATTTTCTGGCGCTGAAGGTATGGTATGGAAGGAAAAGAACAGGCCATTTATTACCACCGCATGGCCAGGAAGTGTACAAGGGTGTTCTTTCATTTGTCTGTACAATAGAAATGAAGGTGAAGGGTAACTGTCTCGCCTAGGGCATGTGAAATAAAACCTCCTCTCCTCGTGCTGGTGTCTCTGTCAGGCTGTGCTTTGCTTCTGACCATGCATGTGTGCTGAACGACCAAAAAATACAAAGCTTATATGTGTATTGTTGGTCTGTACCAGCCTGACTCATTCCTACCATCCTCAGATGCTTAAGTCTCTTGAAGTGAGGTGCTTCCTGTGCAGCAACAGCAGCTTTTGATTTGTGATGCAAGGCAGTCACCTCTGTGGCCTGTCTTTTTATGCCTATATGCTACTGGCTGCTGCTCCATAGGCAGTAGCATGGGTGAAACTAGGCCCCTATACAAGATGTGCTACAACCCTGCCTTGAGCTGTGAGAAGAGGCGATGGTGTTTGATCTGCCAGGTTTGCTTTGGGGCTTACATGTAGCATTTGCTCTTAGGTGAGCTGGCCTAATATACGTTTCCCAGATCTGTAGGGTTGTGCAGGTGGAAAACCTCTCGAATATGCTGAGGTTCAATTTGGAAATTTTAAATTAAGACATTTAAACAGACTGGAAGTGGGTGTCACAAAATACATGGATTTCCTTTTGCATTTCATAATATTTTTTAATTTATTTTTTTTCTCTGACTCAGATCTCCCTATTTGGAGAGATCTTTTTGGGGAAAATGGACACCCCTGTAGTCGAATAGCAGGAAGCAGATGTGTGTATGTATATATGTGTATAAATATACATATATAAAAAAATATATATAGACTGGTGA